CTATAGCCATAGATATAAATGTGTTCACGGCTATAGCCATAGATATAAATGTGTTCACGGCTATAGCCATAGATATAAATGTGTTCACGGCTATAGCCATAGATATAAATGTGTTCACGACTATATAGCCAGGAATCTGAATGTGTCCGCGGCTATATAGCCAGAGATCTAAATGTGTTCACGGCTATATAGCCAGGGATCTAAATGTGTTAACGGCTATAGCCGGGGATCTAAATGTGTTCACGACTGTAGCCAGAGATCTAAATGTGTTCACGGCTTCAGATAGGGATCTAAATGTCTTCACCGCAATAGCCAGAGATCTAAATGTGTTCACGGCTTTAGCCAGAGATCTAAATGTGTTCACGGCTATATAGCTAGAGATCTAAATGTGTTCACGGCTGTGACCAGAGATCTTAATGTGTTCACGGCTATATAGCTAGAGATCTAAATGTGTTCACGGCTGTGGCCAGAGATCTTAATGTGTTCACGGCTATAGCCAGGGATCTAAATGTGTTCACGGCTATAGCCAGGGATCTGAATGTGTTCACGGCTATGGCCAGGGATCTGAATGTGTTCAAGACTGTAGTCAGGGATCTAAATGTGTACATCATGGTTATAGCTGGTGATCTATATGCGCTCAAACCAACAAGTCGTTCTAAATATCAAAGAAAAGAGTTCGAATGAGTAGTTTAGAATTTCCCAAAAATAGAACAAAAACAGCAAAGATTATTTTTAAAATGTTCTACTATTTTTAGACTAATACTAGTATGTCTGCGAAAACGTTCTGTGTAAGTGCCCTGTCACTTGCTTACAGACTATAATAATCGTTTGAATGATACAATTTGACGTATTGGTGTAATTTGATTTGAATTATGAGAATTAATACACGAAGACCAGTTGCTTCGATATATCCAAACCACATATATTCAAGTTGCCAAAGAAAATAAATGTCTAAACGATAGAGTATTGATGTAAGCCCCTGGACTGCCATGATTTCCAGACGCAAAACATTTAAATAAATGATGTTTCTGAATAAAAAGTCAAACGATGTTATCGCGATGATGCCCTTGATTTGACCCGATAAAGTGGGGCACTAATAATTATATTCACGTCTCTTTATTAAATGTGCTACAGTCATCGTTCCGCGTCGTGTTCGACATGGGACCCGTATTGACGTATACAACGCGTGTTTAAGTCATTGTTTGCATTAAATTTGAACACGCGCTGAACGACGACCGTAGCGCTTTAACTTACTTCTGGGTTTGGTTCACTATTATTGCTACGCAGTAATTGCCAACGCTTTTATGTCATGTTGTAATATCCATATATTTGGTCAAAGCAGTATGGCACTTTTTGGCCAGAAAAACCTTATCAATCACCATTATACTGTGCTTAAAATCTGAAATGCATCATCTTAAAACAATTATTTATTCTTTTTTTAATAAGTATTATATATTATTCCCATATATATATATGATGAGCTTAGTGTTTAGCTATATGTGCTGTTCGTTGTGGCCCGTGGCCTTTACATCTCTATTAATAAACAACCGTAATCGAGCCCGGTAGATTATTTGGAAGTTCGAGGAGTTCAAATCGGAAAACCAACTAGGAGGCATCAATAACACATTCATTCAAGACACATGATACAACATGATACTTTGGTTCGTCTCATAGTCACGAAGGTTGCGGCTCACAGTGGAACTTGTGAACCTTAGAAAATATGTGCATTAATGTCACGTAAGTTTCGTTGGTATAAGCGCCATCTGTGCAAACTCGTTCAATATAATGGATTTTTCATTTGGATACATTTCTAAGACACGTAATACAACTAACAAAAACACGAATGTACTTCGGGTTTCACTAGTTCCGGTAAATTGGAAAAATAACATTCAACTGTGTCCCATTTTTTTGCCGGCTGATATGCGGAAGTTCAGGTCTCATACCACTAAGTAGCCAATCAGCTTTCGTGGTTAAAATCATATGGTTGTTGTTAGCCAATTAGCAATGTCCCTATTTCTCTGCGTTTGATGAAGCTCGGTGTATGAGGCGAGTCAAATAGTTCAGCCGTTGGACTCGTGTATGGAACTTTGTTATTGACTCGTACATTTTCGGCAAGTGAGAACAACTTGAATATTTTAATCTTTGTCGAATCGCTATCGAATAAACGGGCATTATATGGTTTGTCGGTGAATAGCTGGGCTACAGGAAACTCCTGAGCCTGAATGTCATGGATCTGTAATATCTAACCAAATGTTAGCACTGCCGTGTATGGGAGAACATGGTAACTTGTAATATAATGTTTAACAACATGTATACACTCAAATATATTATTGCATAGAGTATTTTTATTAATCTCCAACTCACGTCATAGGTCATGTGTATATAAATTTCTACATAATCTCAAATTTTACATACAAATTAAACTGAAACTTACACACGATATTATTTACTGCATTTCCTCATATCAATGTGTTTTGTAAATTATGTGTAAAACGGAAATGTTTACTTTTTTGCGTACTTTATAAAAATAATAGTTTCATCTTTCTTTCTGGCATAGCACCTTTCCATCAGTTCCCCCGTTGACCTAAAATGGTCGACTTTCCCTTCCGGCACAAGGCGCATGCGCACGTGTAATTCAGATTGCTTCAGTCTGTGATCCATGGACAACGAACGGTATAGTACTTGTACTTTTGAAGGACTTTTAGGGCAAACTCACAAGACGAATTCAGGTACTCGCTCTCTCTGCAATATAAATCCTATAATTACAGCAAACGTGCATCTGTATGTCGTTTCATCACCGAGTCGTAATATAGTATGACGATAGCATCCGATAAAATCCATGTCCGCTCCGCGTCGAGGAGAGTAAGTGTCTATTAAGAAGTTACCCGGACGTGGAATAACACATGGCACGTGACAAGACTTACACCCGCACATGCACCTTATCTATACTACACACACGTGACTCTTTCCTCACTGTTTGGTGTCCAACTCTCTAGTGGTATAGTAAGTTCCGGTTCTGGTCCCGGTTTGTTTGGCTGCCATACCACAACGCGCACATCATTTCTCTCTATAGTTTCCATTAGCATAGGCGTGTTCTCATTGGCTTCCCCAGTTGCCTCGTTCTCGAGTTTTCGTGTACGTGACTTTTCTGCCTTCGCTTTCTTGCGTTTATCGGCGAACTGAACTGCCATCCCTGAAACAAGGCAAGACAAGAACATTGAAATGATGATTGCGGCTTCTCCTGTGAGGGGGTATTTCTCCGAGTTTTTCAAAAACACATCTCTAGAAACACGAACGGCATTTACTTGTGTGCGCCCTCCTTTGGTCATGGCGTCAACGAAATCGGTTGCCGTTGGTGGCGCTCAACACATGCGTAATTCCTGACTTATCGTAAACTATAAGTTACCGATCTCTGGTGCAGCCGAAACATTGTCGCCATGTTGATTATATGTAATGATGTATTCAATTTAAAATACTGTAATCAATAAAGTGGCGGCGTAGACATACAATAAAATTCGATATATCTAAAATAACTTGAAAATTGAGTCTTCACATGCTAAAATTAATAATTACCGGCTATTAATGTGGTATATATATATATATTTGTACAAAATAAATATTATATAGGACTCAGTAACTGTGGGGTGTCTTGTCGTGCGATCGATATGGTTAAGATTACGTAATGTGGTATTTATTAAAGTTGCAAAGCAACTCTGCGTTATATGTTGTACATTGGTTATTATGAGCAACATAAGATATTGATCGATTAATTGATTTGGCAACAAATTCTGAAATATTGGCACAGTGACCGTACGCATAGTTTGACAGAAACGTCACGTTATAGTCGCAGTATCATCCCCAAATTTAAACGTATTTTTCATTACTGTAACCACTCATTTTTCTAATTGCACGTGTTCATTTGGATGTTGGTGTGAATAATTTGTGCTAATAATTTGTGCTTGTGTAATAAGTTGAGTTTAGTGGCAAACTAGTGTGAGCTGGTTGTTGCGCTATTTGAGTTGATTAGCTTTGGCCTGCTTGCACACTAGTTTGGGCTGGATGTTATTGTTATTGTTGTTGTTGTTGTTGTAGTTGTTGTCATGGTTGTTCTGATGCAAAATTAGCTAGAATTAAAAAATGAGTTTGTCGGTTTCTAACCAATTTGATATGTTTTCATTTCGTTTCATTTCATTTCCTTCATGTGAAAATCAGCTCTTACAGAAACGGATTAATAGCATCCAAAATTGGTGCATTGAGCTGGTTACATATTCTTATTACTGCAAGGGCAAGTCAGCAAACAAGTTAGAAATTGTGAATTGGGTATTAAGAAACTGGCAAGTCATTCTCTAGTAGGCAGTGTGGAAAGTGCCGAAATGCTTCAATATTTCACGTTCCAGTGACTATTTTTGAAATCAAAATGTAGAAACGGGGAGTTACTACTACCAAATCATTGAATATAAATTCATTTGCATATTTGCTAACTCTATTGATTGAATTTGATTCTGGAGATAGTGTCACCATACCTGTCTGTGTAGGGGGCTCATTTCGATATGTTTCATGACGTGGGTCGAAAAAGACAACAAAACACATGTTTCTAACCACATTGTTGAGCTTACCTTTGCTATTCGTAGTACGAGTCGGAGGGGCATCCGATGGCATCAGGCCTTTCCTTCGTCTGTATACTCGACGAATCTCGGAAATGACGAAGGCAACAATAACCGCAATGAGCCCACCCGAGACTATCGCTCCAACCGTTATTAGCTTATAGTTCAATTCGCCCTCCTTTTCGGCTTTTTTCAATATCGAAGTCATTGTTGTCGTCATATTGGTAATGTGCGTATAGGGGGTACTTTCGTTGATGATGTTTTTCATGTACATTTCATTAGGAGATGTCGCTAACGTCGAGTTTTTTGCCAGGTCGCCCTCTATGGTGTCTGTAACGAAAAAACACACATTTCTGTGGAACTTGCATATAGACGAGTTACATTTATTATGTGGTCAGTGCACACTGACGTTTTCACTAGACGGGAACAAATTGATGCGTACATTTAATTCTGCCGTTATTTCAATCTTAATATTGGTGGGCTTGTTACCATAGTAACGGAATTCCACATGTACTTTCACTCATCGCGGATTAAATAAGCCTAGATGTTTGTCACATGAAATGCGGAAATTAAAATTCAAAAACGAAATTGAACTGTCAAATCATTCAGTACTATACGCAAATTGCTATAACGTTGCACTCTGAGTGTAAGTTGTTTTGTGGTCTTGGGAATATTACTGAGGATATATCTGATTGACTGAATTTGCGCGCATGCGCCTTGCCGGAAGGAAAAAAACTAGGATTCACCAGGAACAAAATCGAATGTCTGTGAATAACAAATTACGATTACGTCAGGAAGTTTTAGGTTCACACAAACAAAACGAGAAAAATAAATGCATATTTTTTCAGATGTCGTGGACAGATATTTGGATAACGATTTTAGTGATTATTGAACGACTGCGAACGACATAGCAAATTACATTACGTACTAAAGAAAAAAAGTACTGAAACCGCAAGCCGTCTATATTAATTTTATCTCTGCTGAGATTATCCAACTCACCATAGGAGGGCGCTAGCATTAAAAACACAGACAGCCGCAACATCATTCGGCGTACGGAGAAGCACACCAAGTTGGAATAATTACATCACGAAGAAAATGCGCTCAAGCTAGGGTGTTCAAATTTAAGATCACGTGACTACCATTTTTCGTCATTCAAGACGAGACTGTAAATATTGATTCTGAACATATCGGTGCAATGAAACACGGCAAACATATGGTCTGGCGAATATCTAACTGAAATAAAACCAATATTTGGTCGCAGCAAAACAGACGGTATCTGACAGCTAAGAATGATCGATGATGCTCCAAGGTTAGAGGCGATTGACGCGAGTACAAGGCGGTGTATAAACTATATACACCCATTCACTACATCGAGGTGCGACATCTTAACGTTATATTTGCAATTTATAAATCAACCAAGATATGACTCATTATAAAGTACTAAACATACACGTTCTAAATGCGTGATTACGTCATTGGTGATTGGCGGGGTACCGGTTGAATCGAGACACGCGAGTCTGCTTGCTAGCGCTCACTTATACAATAGATCTGTGGTCTATGCTATAACCGACACGCGATTCAGATAAATATTGACTCCCTTATCAATTAAGTCATGCGTCATGGTAATTAAACGCGGGTTACGAAAACATTCTGTATCTCATCGATCAAGTCAAGTAGTATATTAAATCATGCGATGTAGTATTAATTATTGGGTTGTCATAGTGAAGTCTGAACGTGCTGTCACGAGTGAATGTGATTATCCATGCACATTTTAGTACCTGACAATACGTGCAAAATTGTATTTATGAATATTAATGAGCGTGGTTCAAAATATTTGTTTGATAAATATGTTTATAAACATGGTTCAAAAAAGTCAATCGTTAAATATTTCTGAACTTGGTTCAAAGTTCACAAGTTAAATATTCGTGGACATGGTTCAAAGTTCACAAGTTAAATATTCGTGAACATGGTTTAAAGTTCACAAGTTAAATATTCGTGAACATGGTTTAAAGTTCACAAGTTAAATATTCATGAACATGGTTCAAAGTTCACATGTTAAATATTCATGAACATGGTTCAAAGTTCACATGTTAAATATTCATGAACATGGTTCAAAGTTCACATGTTAATATTCATGAACATGGTTCAAAGTTCACATGTTAAATATTCATGAACATGGTTCAAAGTTCACAAGTTAAATATTCATGAACATGGTTCAAAGTTTATGATTGGTAACAAACCACCAGCATGGCTTAATGCGTGTAATAACAATTTGCGAAAATGTTATAATTGATAAAATTTGATTGGTATGTTTCAAAATTCGTGGTTCGGAAATAGATGATTCATGTTTCTGAAGTTCATGATCAAATAAACAATTTACCCTTTGTGTTGTTGCATATCGTCCTTTCAGTAACGTTTCCTTCAAAAATGACGCCTCCGACTTCTTCTGTGCAACTATATAGGAAAAGAAATATTACAGACTTTCATCGACGGAAATTTGACTGAACATGTTTACTTGAAGACGAATTAACCTATATGTTGATAAATACATATTTAGGCTTTTCTATCACCAAATGGCTCAATGATTGTATTCCATGATATCCTTGTCAAGAAAATATTTATGTCACGATCGCTCGATTCAAAAATAACTATAATATCTTATATCAACGATTTAAAGATAAGTGTTATTATAGTTTTGAAAAGGAAAATTATACTAAAAATATCCGCAAAAGTGTTACCCGGGCAACATTTCCCTTTCAAGGCATCTACACGTGGTGGTTCAGCATATTTATTTTTTTGAATATCGTTTTTAACAATTTTATTTTTACGCCAATTTTTTAATACTAATTTTCAATAAATTCAAATTTGATTTTGAACCAATCAAATAGATTGTCTTATCGCTTAGATTTTCATCCCATTTGTCAAATATTGATCTTAAAGAAACAAGTATAATTAGAACAGGACTAGGTTCTTAAAAGTGGAAAAATGGCGGCGGGAGGGCGAATTTCAGATACTAGAAAACTAGGTCGTAGAAATAATTCAATACGCAAAACAAGCTAGCATCGATAGTTGCGCATATTACCATGTTTCCAATCTATTCTATCTATGTTTCAATTTGTAGGTTTTTGAATTTCACTGAATAACAGAAACTACGATAATTACAAGATAGAATACACCACAGTATTCTGATTTCTGCAATGCAATAACCCCCGGGGCTACTACAACAGAGCATACAATGCATGACTATATCGCCCATAAACGTCATTCGTAATTCGTCATTGTAACCGAGTTCTTACTTTGGCTGAGGTTGGCACCTTTGTGTCGTGGACCATTCATCTGAATATTCATTGCTGTGACATTGTCGGCATTGTCCTATGTAAAAGAAACAAAACCAAAAAAAAACGATTGAGCCAAAGTGCCATAATAGTATATTATGCGTATATCTTAATGCAATAATCCATACATAAAGCTGTTGTATGGCATATATAGGTTAGGTTTATCAAAGTGCACTGCACGGAGAGGTAGGGCATGTGATATATGTAAATCTGCTTCCAGCATACGCCTTTGTCGTATATAAATAATGGTTTTGTACATTTATTTATTTTAAGTTCTTGAGAAGTTCGCTTTTATTATAATGTTCATCACACTCGTCAGTAATGGTGTATGTACATATGTCCCGAAACACTTGCAGCGGTATTGACATATATATATATATATATATTTCTTTGAATCTCTATTACTAGTCTGAGTTTGAATATAATATGTAAAGGACAAGATCTTAAACAAACAAATAAACAACACAAACTTCATTTCAACGGGCCCTTTTCTGACGTTATTTCGTGCGTAGTAGAATACTTATTAGTTAATAATACTAACGGAATGATGAAATAATGACGAAAATACTTATTGTCAGAGCATTGGCTCATATTGTCTTTCGACAGATTCGCTACAACAATTGCCGTAACTAAGTAGTATGTGTTTACTAGGCAACAAATAATATATCCTAGACTCAAGTATCCACCGAGATATCTAGGAGAGAGCCACGATACTTGTATTTTCAATTCAAATTAGTGTTTTAATTCTCATTGTTTCCCCCCGACCTATATAACATTGGCATTTAGAACAGTGAACGCCGTGACTGGAGACAAAAACAAGACTGCTGGATTTCTCGTTCTCAGCGAAATCTCGGCGGCCATTCAGATTTGTGTCTGTTCTAGTCTTGACATCATTGAGAAAAACATATATAGCTCTTAACAACTATTTTCGTAACTAACTAAAAAAAAAAAATTAAGAATATTTTGTTTGGTTTTCTAGTCTTTTTTACTGGAGACGTTTGGCGCTACTCCATGTCAAGTCTACGTTCACCCAATTTCGCCTGTTATTACCAAATGTAATTTGTTGCTCATTAGCATACCTCGCAGCAGCTGTGACAGGCTTTTCAAAAGCGAGTTACATTTCACCTAGTCACACTACCACAGTAATGTATTGTACGAGTAGTTTTATCAATGCCATCATCCCGTAAGGAATTGCCTAGGGCGATGACTGGTCATATACAATATTTACTTACAGTTTTATTAACCGATTAATAATAACATTTAATACAGAATAAGTTAACTTTATTATGATTCAACAATCAAGTCGTTTCATGTTAACGCTACAAATGCATTATAAATCATTGGTACAATTAGTAAACAAACTCAAGATGACACTTCCTGATATATTGGTTGATTGAATTGTCTAGCAACGGAATTCGATACTCGCATTGATTACAGATTACTAGTACAGGCGCATACAAACAAATAGTTGGTCTGTCTGAGATTTAAAAAAAATGTTTAATACAAATTCTTCTTTCTTATTTAACAGATAATAAGAAACTCATCCGTTGGATAAACAAGACTTTATTCTGTCAAGAATAACGTCAAAGTGGTGACCATGGTAACACAAGTATTCTACGGACGCATTTACGCTGACACTTGACTTTTTCTGATCATTGAACATTTAAGGTTCGCCTGTCTTTTTCGCTTACAGGTAATAGTAGCGGACGAGCCTGGGAGAACAGATGAAACTGTGTCACATTGGTTAAGTGTGTTTGCGCGTTGATATCATACGAAGGTGACCCCGGTCACTTGTATCGATTTCGGCAACGGGATGTTATGTTTCAAGCACGCACCTAATACCACGTGGTCACAGCATCACTGTTTAGAAATGACATTCATTGTGCTAATGAATGCACAGGCCGTTTCTGTTGGTGCATCGACATATTGTATACGTATTGTGACAGATGATTGCACGTTGCAAAAATTGAAATGAAACCAGGACGGGTGAAACAGTTAGTATGGCTGATAATGCTATAATTTGTGCAGTAAATTGATGTTACCAGGGCGACAGGTCAGGCAAATGATGTATCCTGATGCATTGCCACAGTTAGTGGTTTATATCACAGTCCCTCTGTGTTTATATGTTGGCCTCTAAAAATGGTTCCCATATTGTCACGTGTTCTTCTGATATCCGTACGATTGATTGGTTTGCACATTTGCCACCAGTTGTGATGTCACGTGACATGTGTTTGTTCGCTTTTTTTTTTTTTCGTGATTTTATCAACACCACCCAATAGTGCTCAAAATATCCACCCGCCGCGCCAGGATTTGGTAGGTCTATTCGAATTTGATAAGACTGGCGATCTGCCCTTTTCGCGTGGCAAATATGATATTGAATTTGATGGACATTGTGTGAACCGCCAGAGACCTTTAAAATACAATATACTGACAGATTCATTTCGACATGTTCTCTCAATATAATTTATCGCACTGTCAGTTAGCCGGCCCGGTTGAGAGTAAAGATTATTATGAGCTCAAAACTACTCGACTGCCGACGATTGTTAACACACCTTCGACGTACAAGGGATTACACAAACTCTGGAAACGTTATCGACGCGTTTTATTGCAGCAAACATTGTGTCGACCTCGATCCTTGGGTCACTGAATCAGCTATTTCGCTATTAATACAAATGCCATACGAAATCAATCATTGTCGTCGTGTCTCGGTCTCCAATGAATACTGAGACGCTATAAAAGTCACGTTTCTGGAATAGATTGTTAATGCCCATATGATTACATTCCACGACGCCGTAAATCAACATCGATGTTTGGTGTTCAAGATATCTTTCCGATTGTGTTCGCTGTTAACCGTGTAATCTAGTGACAATTCAACGACCATACAATAAGGTGCGAGTTCAAGTTGTAATAAAATTGAAATATATATATATATATATATA